GGGGTGGCGGGGCTAATGTCCTGGACGAGAAAAAAGTGGGCGTGGTTGGGCGTCCCTAAAAACCTGTCGAAAGTGGTCCAGGGGACGTAGCCCCCGAAAATATGACAATGTAGGGGTTTCAAATGCTTATTTAATCGATTATAGAGTCTATTAATATAAAACATTTTTTTTTCTCTTTTCTCCCCGACGAATTCCACATATTATTTTTTTTTTCTCCCCGACGAATTCCGAGGGGGGGGGGGGTGGTGGTGAAAGACCTCCTCGACGGGGTAGCTGTAGCCCCGCCTAGCCCTCCCCCCACCATAGCGCCGCCACTGAAGACGATATGTGTTTTACTCATTTGTAAAGGATGAAAATGATGACCTTTAACATTTGGTAAGAAAAAGTTTCGATGTAATAGCACGGAAACCATAGCCTCAATTACTCTCACCTAATTTAGTTAATAGACTTAAATGTTTAAATGCCAGTCAAATCCTTTTTTTTTGTATCTCTTTTTTGTTGATAACGTGGGGGAATAGGCCTATATATTAAATGTAATAACCCCCTATCGTTGCAGTTTCGATAGTAGAAAATATCCCGGAAACAATCGACGAAAATAATACTTCAGCCTATAAGGCTTTACTGTGAAATTGGGGATAACACCTTTTGTTATTATCGTATTGATTTACAGTTGGGAATATTCAATAGAAATTGAAACACTTTAGCGTTGCATTGTTAAAAAACAGTTTATATAAAGCGAGTAGGTCCCTTAGAAAAACACCAATATTAAATGATATTCTCATAATTCATCCTATAGGCTTAATTGCGTAATTGGAATTTACCCCCATATAAAATCGTATTTTATTGATATAACCTGGGGTATATTCAGTATAAGATATTAATTTTCTTGGTTGAGGGCACAGGATACGGAGCTATCACACGCATGACTTATTAGTCAGCGAACGTGTGAAGATGAGACGTAAGCGATACATCATCAAAGCAAAACTTTCACAGCAGGAAAATTCCAGGATAAAAAGATAAATTGTGCTATGAATGAACATGAAAGATCATCACAAAGTATGACGACAGTTAATAGGAGAATTAATGTAAGGCTTTATGCTTTTGATTAGTAAATAGTATTTCGAAGTGTGCGTAACATATTTTGGCAATCCTCCACATCATGATGGGTATAAATAACATATACATTATCTCCAACGCTTTAGGAGTATAAATTATTTCTTACAAGAAAGTGCCCAAACTAAGCAATGATGAATAATTTTTTGACAGATGGCAAAGGAAAGAGCAACCGGTCTGAGCCCCCTCCAATATTTTTTAAAAAATTTAAAGTGAGGGAATCGGTAAAGGAAATTGTCAATTCACATTTACGAAATGTAAGTATGCATAGGTTGAAAGTGTTAAAAATAACGCGGTTTACTCATGTGACGTGTGTCACATGACATTACGGAGTATATCAAATGTTATAATTATTTATCTAAATGTCAAGTAGGCATATATTAATAATTTATATGCATGTGTATATAGATGGCCCTAATTATTTAATATATATGTATGATTTTGGTTAAAATATTCAATTAAAATGTTATATGTAATTATCAATAATTAAATTTGATAGACAAAACGAGGACAAAAGTTAAATGTTATTATCAATGTTATTATCTAATATAAGGATATTCATCTCAGTTTGTCCGCTTTTCTATATGTCATGTCTATTTTCGTGTAACCCCATCATGTGTTATTCATTATAAAATATGACTAGCATAATTCTATAATTTATATGTAGCATAACCAATATAATAGAAATAATCATAATTTAACATCGACTTTCAAATGCATTACATCCAGCTTTTACAAATGATTAAAATGTTTGCGTTTTCGAAGTCCAATTTATTCTTAGATTGCATTTACCATAAATACGTATATTTCAATCGAATTAAAGTAAAGGCATAATATCTAAGTATTCTCATTACAAAGCAACTTCCTCATATTATAACTTAAACCAAGGATTTAACTACATTGAGAAAAACATAAGGAGATTAGATTTCAGATCTTGTTTCTGCTCAATTTGCAACGGTTTAAAAGATGGTGTGAACTGGGATAATCCAACAAGTGTTAGTTGTAATTAAGTAATCGACACTTAAACGTTTATATTTTTTACAAAAAGAAAAAAAAAATTATAGGCCTATGTTACACGGAGAATGCACGATTTGAACTATATATCTGACCAAGGCATTAAAGAGTCTCTCGTGAGCTAACTTTCTCATGCACGCATACAAAATCCAATCATTGAAATAAATTATACACAGCAACCAATCACAGAATTGAGTTCAGGATTTTACATTATATAAAGGACTGAATGGTGTCAAAATGATTATGATAGCAGCTTCATGAGATATCTACTTAAACTATCGGTGCAGCCTATAGTTTTTTAAAATGTTCGTTTAAAACAGTTGGGAATTTCAAATGGCCGCCATAGCTTGAAATAAATAGGTTCTGAATTACAGCAGATTGCTTGTCCTTTTAGTGTGATTAAACATTCGTGTTTACAACTCGCAGTGGCCGGTACAAATACGTTTGATGGCTTTCAAACAGAAGTTGAAGAATATTGACTTGAGATGTTAATTCGAGGTATTAGTAGCGACGGTTCATTTTTATCTTAGCCTATTACAACCATTCCTTATAATATAGAATGGCGTTTGTAACAGAGCCCGTGGGCCAACCGTCTCTATCATTTAAATCTCTTTGCCTCTGAAACATTTCAAAGCATTCGGGAATGGTACAAGGCTCGTATGATTAACATAGGGCCTACAGGTGCATCAGAAAGAAGCCTCTGGATATACATCTGAATGTTGATTCAGATACAAAAGAATAATCAAATAAGTCTCTTGGGTATACCTAATGGACAACTGACCACTTCCAAAAACCCCACCCTGGCAACATGCATGTCGCGCAAGAGTAGCTGATAATGCCTTTTAAACATACGCGTGCGTGCGCCAGAACAGTCATAAACACGAAGTAGTTGTTGGTACAAGTTGACGAAATCTTGCATAACCAAATGTAATCTTATAGACATGTTATAAAAAAGTTAAAAATCTCATTAGAAAATTCTTTTATTAATTACTGCTGTTGTTATTATACCAGAATTGATTGATGATCGGAACCACATAGTTACGGTTAGCTAATAATTCTATGAAAGAAGAAAAATAACAGAGAAAATAACAAACAAATGAGTACATAGAGATAAAAATGGGGTGAAAATAATGATAAATACTTTGGAAAAAAAAAGAAAAAAAGTTGGTTGGTTGATTGATTAATTGATTGATTGATTGATTGATTGATTGGTTGGTTGGTTGGTTGGTTGATTGATTGATTGATTGATTGATTGATTGATTGATTAATTAATTAATTAATTAATTAATTAATTGATTGACCGACTGACCGATCGACCGATCGGTCGATCGATTAGTTTGACCGATCGATTAGTTCGATCGATCGACCAATCGATTGATTGATTGATTGATTGATTGATTGATTGATTGATTGATTGACAGACCGACACACCGACTGACTGACTGACTGATCGATCGATCTATTCATTGATTGATTGATTGATTGATTGGCATTAGTCATAAAGAGGATGGTAATCAATACCAGCTTTATCAAGTGTGTGAATTTGAAAATGAAATAAAAAATAAATGAGTTAAAACATAAAGAACTGCAATAGGCAGGATGTGACCTTGCCTGGCCTATATCCTAGGATCCCGGATTATAAATGAACCATATCTGTGTGTATAGCATGTCTGGATTCTCATCAAATAAAGTTAACCCCCTTGTCTTCCCCATACGCCCCATGAGAAATAGTGCACTGTAGTATGAAACATCAATGCAGTCATGACACTTATAATGATGTAAGTAATCATTTACTTCCATTCTTTAATTGCCAAACAGTGATGTTTGATACGACCAAAATGATATTAAATAAATAATTAAAGACTACTGTGCAGAGAAAATCAAAATATGTTGATATGCAATTAGGAACAAACGGAAGAAATGGACCAAGTTGGTGGTCAATGCTTTCACGGCGTCGTACTTATTACGTCATACCGTGTCGTAGATTCCGACATGTCACGCATCTCTATCACGTGACATTTTCGTGTGTACTCTCTCCTTGATGGTTACTAACGTTGTCACTTGTAGACATGCATAAAATGACAAGAGGTCTAATTTCGAAAGTGTCCTTTTATGGAACATTTTGACAAAAAAATAATTCCGCTCGAGAATAGGGAAATGTTAAAGGTAAACTATTTATGGTATAATTAATTATTATCATCACTATCATAATCATTACTATGATGGTAATTAATAATATTAATATACGTATGAAAAATAAATCCTTACCCAGCCATTAGGGCCCATGAGGATGGAGAATATCTCACTTTTTTGTAATGTGAAGCGGATGAGAGTATGATGCTCCCCTGGATGGTACGCCAGTCCACCGAAGGTCACTCCCAGCAAGTAGCCGGTACCCATCAATAGACTGAATCAATGTATGTAGGTGTCTCGCTGAGGGACACAAGCGAAACGCATTAAGGATTAAAACCCCGACTTCGAGGTTGGGAAACAAAACCAATTCCACTGCTCCAAACCGTTTTCACCATACAATATATTTGAGCTAACATGAAAACTTGAACTAAAAGGGAACACGAAAAAAAAGCATTACTAATAGTCGTATTACGTAATCATACACAATTACCCGGTACCAATTTGATAATGGATTAGCAAAAATCAGCACTCGATTTAAGTAATAATTTAATTGGCCTAAGCATTACGCGTTTGATTTGCTAATTAAGGATATACTGAACTTAGACCTATCTAAATTATTAACCCATTTTTAGAAGACATTTTTGACAAAGCAATTGTGTTTGAAGTTCAAATTAGAGGAAGAGACTTAATGACCAATCTAGTCAAGGAAACTTGCTGAGGTAAAACCAAGAACACGTGCCTTTTTTTAATTAATATTTTCCTTTTATTTGTTAAGTTCATAACTTAATTTTAATACAATACCTCATAGTGGTTTTCTTAAGAAATACATACATGCAAAATAGAAAATATAATAATAACACTAATGATAATGTACTGACGATATACCATTGCTGTTGGTTTGAATAAATTAATATACACATCAATTAATACTGAGACAATGAAATTCTGTACCAGCATTATATGATTTTTTTTTTGGCATTTACATATGACTTTAATATCTAAACATTTTGAAAGTGCTTCACATCAGTGTCCTTGGCATTAAAAACATAACAATAATAAAATACAATAGAATTTTAAAAAGTTCAAAATACTCCGCACGATATTTTTTTATATTCAGTGGTTATTATGATATATTGCTGGTGGTTTGAATAAATTAAATATATATAAAATTAATCCTCAAACAAACAAGTATGTACCAGCATAGACTTACATTGTATTTTTTTTTTTTGGCATTTACATATGACTTCGTCGTCTAAACATTTCAAAATGCTTCACACCAATGTCCTTGACAACAATAACAATAATAAAATACTAAATGTGTGCAGCATACTCAACTCGTTATCTTGTATTCCTTTCACAGAATGGAGTATACGCAACATAACACAAACACATTCAACATAAAGCACTATACTCTCATGCAAAGAAATTAAAGGGGATTGAAATCTCATGGGTTATGCAAGGGGTTGTGGGGGGGGGTCGGGAAGGTCGTACGACCCGCCAATATGTTCAGAGGTCCACATTTCTTATCAGAAATTTTTTTCAAGGGCCTTTTCACAATGAAATAAATGAAAAAGCATTGATGAGGTACTAGCAATGAATCCAAAGACCTTACCGATTGCGTGACGTAATCTATCACAATTCCAGCAATTCTGAAACTGAGCCTGCCATCCGCTTCAAGCAAATTGTATTGACATTTTATTCACATCTTACTGTTATTTCATTGTGAAAAAGTCAAAATAATTATGATCACGACCCACCCAGAAAAAAAATCCTGGATACACCCATGAATCTTTAGTAGTTCTGACTGCACATATCTATGTCGAAGGTCAAAACATATCATAATTTGGATTTCTGGAAGTTTTTTCTTATTATACACCGAAAACACCAACAGACGATAGCAATACAGACTACATAAGCTATATGATAACTTGTAGTCATCATGTGAAGTTAAAACTATGGGAGGGTTGGGTAAAAACATTACCACAGCTAAAACCAGTACGGGAATGTTTCGAACTGTGACGTCACATACTAATGGCAGGCATATTATGTGATGATGATTGTTATAACTTCTTCATGTGAAGTATGTGTAATGTACTGTGAAATATGCATTATTTTAGCATACTGTAGACTTCAGCTACGCTGTCATTATTATCCATTATTCAGGTTTAAGTATTATGTTTATGGATTTCAATTAAGAGAAAGTAAAACATTTCAGACTGAGCTACAACGCAAAGCATTTAAGTAAATCACATACGTTGCGTTATCTACAACTCCGCTCCAAGTTCGCCTTTAAAAATCCCAACAAGCATTGAGCGAAAGCACGTCAGTGGAGTAATTAAGAGTTGGTTCGGTCATTGACTACGATTAGCTACTATATAACCGCTGAAACAAATTCATTCTGAAGGACTTGATTAAAACATTAAACTTTGCCGATGTATTGCACATGGTAGCCACACTTCCAGAAGGCAGAAATTAGTATCAGTTGCTTTCTCATATTTGAACAATTATTCATACATGACTTGATTCAATGTTTCCCATTTGCAGGAGATGCATGTAAAAAAAACCCCATGAATAAGTTATTATATGAATACGTCAGTGTTGGCAGATTTAAACACATACCGAGATAAGAACAGATAATGGTCTTCTGTCAGCCACAATAAATGATATTCCCTCTATTTATTTACACTATTATTAAACATAGGCCTACTGGTACGCTTACATGAATAATATAAGGATAAGAAATGAAATGTGTTTCACGTAAATAGTGTTGTCAAGTTTTTATTTTGTCCTACATTTACTGACTGTTGCTTAAACATAAACTGAAAAGAAATGCAAAACAGTAATATATAAATATTGGTAAAAGTAGTCCAACTGTCTCCGGTTGTATGTGGTAAACTACTACGATATAATACGACACTCGCTGTTGCATGAAAATGAAATGAACGAAAATAATATTAATTTGATAATTGAAGAGTGTGAAATAAATATTGAACGATTATGTAATCATATTACATATTGGCAATGTACACCACACAACAATTTGGCAGGAAAAACGGTTTGTGCGACTAGCCAAGGAGACTCTTCGGTTCTATCTGTTGTATGTTGTGAGCTATTATAATATCACTAGATGAATATCTAAATGGCAGAAAACGTATTACTTGTAAAATACTGAGTTTTATTGTTGTACAGGATAGGTCGTCATTCCAGATGTGTAGAAACGGATGCGAGTTTAGGAGATGGTATAACTAGAAATATTAAATTACACCCTGTACGTTAGAGATGGATACCAACGTACTATCACTCTGAACAACCTGGTATATATAATCGTTACTTCGGGCTAAGTTTAAGTAATTACTGCTTCCGATGCATTCGGATCCATCCTGGTCTTCGGTTAGTCCCGAGTCAGCCCGTTTCATGCCATGCATTGCGGGGATATCAAACGAGTAGTTACTCTCTTTCATTTTGTCGGCTGGGACTTCGTACGTCACACACGCAACTGGTTTAGATGCGTGTTCTCTTCTAAGGCTAGTGTATGTACCGTTGTCGTGATGCTCGAAAATTCTAGGCAGGTGGCTGTAAATAAATGAGAATATTCGAATTTGTGATAACGTATAATATTTTGAATTTGGTTATTCAAATTGGTGTAGTTGCATATGTGATGTTACACACCGTATCACAACCAATTATAGCAGGAAGGGCAACAATTGGGCAACAAAACCTCCAACCAAACTGGCTTTTAGACATTGATAATGAGATACAGAAGATATATCAACCCACACTAAGCCTATTAATCTATAAATGTGCGTGATTACACCAGTATGCATTACAACTAAAAACATACTGTAATGTAAAACACCGGGAGGTCTGCATAACGAAATAGAGCATGCACAATTTGAAAAAACGCCCTCAAGTGTCCAGGAAATAACAACTTAAAAATAATAAATAACTGCATTGTGTGTGTTGATGAAAATAAACTTGAATATTGATTAGGTTACAGGTTCAAATTAAAATTATATATTTCTTCGCTAATTAAAGCATCATAAATATTTTTTGGAAATGGTCAACAAACCATTATAAAGTTATTTTAGTATTTAATTCAATTAAACAATGTATGAACAAGCACAATTTACTAAAAAAAAAATTATGCTTATCTTGACTCTAAGAGTGATGTATTTTAAATACTCAATTATTATTAATGCTTGAAATGTCCAATTCCAATGAATTCCACCTGATTTTAGGGATAACACACTCAACTAGGGACCTGTCAAGCTTCACGAAGGGAGTCATGGTTCAAATGTACAAGTTCTATGATTGGACTACGACATGATTATTAGTACAAACTTTCCAATACAAATATTTAACTCTATGGATGTTCAACAAGTTTAATATCCGCCTTGAATTGATGACAATATAATCAAATAATGTATTCTTAAGCACAACACCAACTCAATTAAATGTCCTCAATACATAAATGTGACTATGTTTGTAGATGGGTTCAATAAGGGTCAAATACATCTTCATTAAATCTTGCAGGCGGCGAATTATTTACATTTGCCCTTTAATTTATTTGATTAATACTGGTGATATGTTTAGCCTATCATAGGTTCAAACACGACCATGCGCTGATTACAGCTGCAACATTATGGGGCATGAGTGTTGTTCCATGTGCTAGATCCAGTGACCGGGGGTAATAATGTAAAGCGCATAGAGGTTAGTCTACAATATGCGCTATATAAGTCGATAATTATTATTATAATTATTATTATTATTATTATTATTATTATTATTATTATTATTATTATTGTTATTATTATTATTATTATTATTATTATTATTATTATTATTATTATTCAAATGATGATAAACTGGATACCTAATTACCTGCTGTTGGTGAATAGTGCTCATGCTAGTAACGCTACTACTTTTGTTGTTGCTGCTGCTACTACTACTACTACTGTTGCACTACTACTACTCTACTACTACTGCTACTACAACTACTTCTGCTACTACTACTACTACGGTACCACTACTACCACTACTACTACTCTACTGCTATACCTCCATGCTACTACTGATAATACTGCCAATACTACACTGCTATTGCAGCTTCTGCTGCTAATGCAACTACTACTACTATTGCTACTGCTATTTACACTTCTACACTATATTATATAATTTTTTTAATAATACAAGTGACCTTTTATTATTTTGTGTTACGCTGTGGGACTCTGAGACTGACTCGCCACTAAACATGCCAACATATTTGAATTCTTACAGTTTTACTATTTTCAAACCCGGTTCTAACTACTGCATCTACTACAGTCCCCTAACTCTCCATTAGTTATTTCTCAAATATCATGTGGTGAAACCGAATATGTGCGTATACCGTCGAGACATGGGCCATTCTTATTAGTATCCAGTCTGAATGATTCGCCGTAATCAATAAGATGTAACGTTGCCATAGCAAACAAACACAGTTTGCATTCAACAATGATAATTCTGTTTGTGCTGGCAAGAATATTGTAGGTGAGTAAGCTACCCATAATATGAAGGGCGTCGCAAGTAAGCCATTTAACGCTTCTTTAGAAACTAGCGTCATACAACAAGTTCCACTTCTCAGTTCTCCATCTATCCGACATAAAAACTTGAAACGATAATGATTTTCTGTATCAGGAAACACTTAGTAGTCGTGAGTGAGTACTCAGCGGATTAATTTAATCCACTGGATAAAGTTAATCCCAATGAAACCTACATATTACAATAATTAAGGAACACTTTATTGGTGGACAAGTTTTTTTGGAAAATATTGACGTGGACTACATTGTATTCAAAGGACATAAGACTCATGAGCTCTTCCCTTGTGTTGATTATCAGACCATGTCTTAAAGGGGGAATCCTTTCGGTCAGAATAACCAGGCTATATGATGCGAATTTTAGAAATTTGAGGATTTTGATAAAAAGAAAATGCATGTTTTTGTTTTCTTAATAGAATTCAGGTATATTTACAAATACTGATCAAAGAACATGTATAAAATCATCTATGTAAAATTATTATGTTTGAAAACGCACGCGTTATCTTGGCTTACGTAGGATATATCATTGTTCATTATAAACTAGGGATAAGAATGAAAACAGTGCGCCCGCTAGCGTTATGCAACTTTTTGCTACCACACAATTTATCTGATACTTTTGCAATCGTTACTTCTGTGCAAACTTTAGTACCATGAGTATTAATGCTTGCGACCCGCCCTAGTTCCCAGAATTCATTAAAAAAAAGATTTCACATTTTTTTTCCCAAATTTTTTCTCTCTCCTCCTTCCCCCCTCTCTTCCCTCTCTTTCTCTTGACCTTCGACATTCACGAGCGACTTTAAAAGATATCTTATTAAGGTACAACTTTGATGTCTTAAGATCGATCGTACTGAATCTATAACACTTCAGTAGTCTGAAAATAACCCTATGTTGTTGATGAATGCTATATATTGGATGGTTATACGTTGGCATTGACATGTGAACATGCTGTCTGTAATTTTAATGAACAGAGGTTTATAATGAGTTTATACTCAATATACATATAGAGAGTATTATTGCCTTACCCATGTCTCTTGGTGTAGACGATGAAGCCGACGGCACATATTACCCACATCATATTGACTATACCGATGACAAGTGATATAATTGAAATTGTTGACTCATCTGAATAAAAATAATTTTAATTGTTAATTGAATGCCGATCGATTGCGTTACGTGGGCTTAATGCGCATTGAGCACAAATATGTACCCGGCTTATTATTACATAATGCACAGGAGTCATTTTGAATATGATTTGTTTATATCGCTTATTATTTATTTTATATTGCAAGGTATTGTTTGAGAAATTGTAAGAGAAATTTCCACTGGAAATCCACTGAGTAATGCCTATACAAAATGTATATCGGCCATCTTGGACGCCATTTTGAAATGATTCAATATTATTCAAATTTAAAGATTTCAAGAGCCATAAAACATTTTTTTAGAGAAAAAAAGCAGGGACTTCAAATGTAATATAGCCTACTGTATATTATCCACTGCTATTTTAAGATATGTGCCCATTAGTTGTAATGACTTTGTCCTTTTATAACATTACCAATATTTTAGTTACCCTTGATGTCACTAAAATGTAGTAGTACTGAACAATGATATTGTATCCTCAAAATGCAAGTTTTATGGAGTTCGGGTAGGATATGGCTATCTATTCAACCCTCAACCTCCACCTTGTTACTATAAATAGAATTACCTTTTCAGGTATAAGGTCATAAAAAAATTAATTAAATTTCGATCGATTGCGTTACGTGGGCCTAAAATCCGATAAAGTTAGATGACATTTATAAAGCACATTTCTGAATTGTTATATAAATCTGTTTTTTATAGATTTCCCATAACTATGACTCATGCCAAAGACAGGTGTATATGTACTCACTGGTCTTGGAAACCATGGTGGGACTCGGTGCCTTCGTGTAGTGCCTTGTATCAATGTCATCTATATGAAAAGAACAAGGTAAGTCGAATGATAATTAACTATTATAATTCATCTTCATCATTTCAGACAAATTAATAATATAGAGCCTATATAGAGCTGAATGTTAGAGCAGTTACACATTTTAGGCATTATAAAATAATAAATAAAAATTTAATTAAATAAAACCAATAAAATGATCTTTTTTTTAAATTTTGGAATGTTAGTTAATAGTGTTGTAAGTGTTATACTTTTTACGTTCTCATTGACTAAATAACTGTGATTCTGATTTTGAATTGAATTTAATAATCTCAATATGAAACCCATTAGGCCTATGTATACTGTACCGGCACTGTGCAAAGTTAAGTATCCCAAAATCAACGTATTTAAACCTATTTAATATAATAAATTTAATACATTATGACCCACGGTACAGCAATAATCAATACTGTATGTATAGTGTACAGCATATTTAAACCTACTTAAAATATAAATACATATTATTATGACCCACGGGACAGCAGTAATCCAGTATGTATAGGTTAATAACTATTTTCACATTAATGCAATACATTATATGGTTTTATGTAACCGGTCTTCATAATCGATTAAAGTGTCATTTGGAATTTGAATATGACAGATTAAAGCCAGGCTTCTGAGGACAACATTGATATGTTTTACAACTGATTTTTCTAAGACATAAAAAGGGTGTTTGACGATAAACTTCAAGTCTTGGGAACGGTTAAGGTGATACAGACTTTTGAATAATTCAAAACGGGGAAATTAGTGTAACGTCTTTTCCACCTTTCATCCCCCCACCCCTTAGTCTTTATATATTCAAATATCTGTATCACATTATTTGTTGCAAAGTTTTTCAACACCATTTTTGTTTTTTTAAGAAAAATCACTTTTACAATATATCATTTTTTCCGAAACCCGGACAAGAGAGCCAGATGGATGATGCAGTTAATGAAGTATCTCTTTCGATATGATTTAACTCTTTGACTTGTACACATTATACGCGCTACATTGCAAAAATAAGGGATAGCTTTGGAGTTTTACTTTGTTCTAAGCCTAACGAATTTTTAGGCTTATATTTTATAATGAGAAACGAGGACAGTGCAAACAAGTGACTGTACTCTGAATAAACTTTCATAAGAAGATGTATCAAGGTGAAAAACAGACAGGAACGCAACTCTATAGCACGATGACGAGATAATTGGCATATAGCCTAACTGCTCATTTTTAATATTTACTATAAAAATGGATTAAGTGGTAATTGATCATAAATATATGACTAATGAGTTCTAATTTCTCAAAAAGCTTCTATAAAAATCGTTAATGAATAAAGGATAGCCTATTAGGCTTACTGAATGATAGAAAATTAGTTCATTGCGAGTTACCACTTAAAGTAAATGGCACAGTGACTATGTCACTTTTTTTAGGATCCTGCATTTTCACTGTTGACAACAATAAGTATTCTATTCTCTACCATCTTGTGATTGGAATGATAAAGCCCGTAGCGCGTCTTAATAAACTTACGTTATAACAATACGCATGAATCTGGCGCACGTGGACACGTGCAGCAACTGTTGATATAATGAATGAATGGATGCGTACGTTTTTGGATGATAATATATAACGGATGATGGCTTGGTGAAAGGTTCAAAAGATGTGTTTTGGTGATTGAATTGCATTACCAATTATAGTTGGTGGATTTTATTGTTTATTTGAAACTAATAAGAAAACACATAATCATGAGTAACAAACATATTTTTGTCAGCATGTTTGACATCACAATCTTGGCACAACACAAAGGAATATGTCAATATTGTGATGTTATGTTGGAAAGAATGGAAGAGATAGTGCAGTCTTGGCTTGTTTTTGTTTTCGTTTATTTTTTTTAATTTACTGTTACTGTTTGTTTACTCTCTATATTTTTTTTGGTTCTCTTTGTTAATTTCTATTAATAAGGAAAAGCAAATAATTCACTGTAGGTTGAGATTAGTTTGGGGAACTTCGTATTGGATTATACCGGCTTGGTAGTTAGCACTTTTACCACCAGGTTTTTTTGTTAAGGTCCCTGTGGAAGCTGCGATTTGTCAAATTTTCAGGTATCTTTTTTTTAAATATTTGTATAATATTATGTAAATGTTAAGAAAGTGGAATCAGTAATTTTTTTTTTAAATCGTCAGCCGACTTTGAATCTGTTTTTGTATACGTGTACCAACTGGACCACTGTCACTTATAGGACGCGATGAATTCGAATATGATTGGGAAAAAAAATTACAATTGTTATGTGAACCAATACAGTTTATTTTCCGACATTTGACACAGTAGTCTTATTAGCAAAAACAAAATCATTGAGCGTTAACAAGTAATATTTGATGAGTGACGTTGTGACACGTATTGTTATCTCTCAAATACCTCATAGTGAAAGACTACGTGTTCTCATTGCGTAGAATTCATGATGAGGCTTACACTGTGCGTACATACAGTAGTTACGGTGTGAAACACAGCGTGGAATATTGTTAGCAAGTGTTCACTTTGTGTACACACAATGTAAACCACACTAATTCCGCACTATTCAACACTTTGTTAGCACGTCAATCTGTGTACACTCTGTGATATTCTTTAAATGTAGGCCTACATGCCAGTGTAATATGGATTTATCCGATAAATATCAAATCCATATCTGTACTATTAATTTCATTTCATTTATTTTGTCCAAAAAACATTAAAATTGACAAACACAAGTAATAATTAATATTATTACTTCATTAATTTTATTGAGTCTGCATATCTCATAACTCGTAAACCATACCATAAAATTGTAGTCATTTAGTGTATCATCCTCTGATACAACAGATGTCTACAAGCATTAACGGATCTAGTAGAGGTGGCCGGTGGTGGGCAGTCGTCAATATGACATTCTGTATAGTAGTCAACCGTTGAATCAGTCAGCCGAAAAATCTGCATTTTTTTTTTTTTTTTTGTGGCCCAATGTTTTGCACCAGAGATTAACTAGTTTATAAAATTGTCTCAGTTTTTACAGAATGTAATGATAGGGTGGCATAATCAAATTGACTTCTATAATGGTAACAGTAGTGCCTGTCGGGTAATAGATCATGATATGTCAAAATAGTTACCAAAGAAGTAACTAAGACATTTGCCGGTAAGTAAATTTTGTAATACGTGATACCGGTAACTGTCTGAGGTTCACTATCGAGCATTATAAACAATATTATAATAAACATATAACTTTTTGGGTAATAGAATGTTAGTACAGTAATTTTTAATGGCACACTCTTTCATAAACCCCACCCTTACATGACTTAGTAATTATAACCCATTTACTGTATCGTGTCGTGTTTATTAGTGGGAAGGAGCTGCACAATTAAATGAATTTACTTGATGAAGTGTATTGAGTGCGTGCGAATGATGGCCTAGATATTAAAATAGGGCTAGCAGTATTTTTTTAAAGCAATTATATTATAGATAATATGAAACAAACATGACATAGATGGCGCTACCAAAACCTCTAAGGAAGTGCTTGTAGACTTATGATGAATTTTATTATTATTTCCACCAGCAACGTACTCGTTTGGCCTAGTATTACAATGTCGAAACAGCTTTGAGTGACAACGGGTTGATTGAATGTAGAGCATCCTGGAAAAATACACATGTACACAAGCCCATTATAGAAAGCAGTGCAAACTAAGCAGGTTAAAGTAGGCTTTTACCTATCCCATACATCAGATGACTGTCAGAAAAAAAGCTTACCCAATACAATGAACAATGTATGCAATCACACTATTAAACATTAATCACTTTCATTTAGTGCATCAAAAACACTTGAAAAGCCAACATAGAGCAATGTATAACATTACGTCGGTTAGACAGTCATTGACTGTTTTTCACTTAGTTCTTATATTGTTGTGTTTGGTTTGTTGTTCATTCATGATAAGTGTATAATACGGTTCACGGATGGGCAGTTCACCCCTCGTGTGCACTTTAAAGAAACCATTGCATCTTTTGGAAGAGTAGTGGTGGGGGGTGCTATGGTCCATCACCTAAGGTAGGGCTAAGGTAGTCACGGATCACACCCATGGCAATTCAGTACAATGACACTGCGAGTTACGAGTTATTCTTTTTACCTTTATTCCCATGTAATGTAATTCATTAAGGCGTTCATGTATTTAATTTTTTACAATTCTGTAAACAATTTCCTTTCTAGTATTCCACTTGTATTCTTTTTAAACGATGCACTACTAAGTGAGTTGAGTTCAGATTTAACTGATGAATGTTAATAATAATAATAATAATAATAATAATAATAATAATAATAATAATAATAATAAGCTATAAATATAAGGTAAAATAAAATTGTTAACTATATTGTTACATTTAAGAAAAGCATCCGGATCCAATATGAAATGTATTTAATGTTGTTGTTGTTGTTGTTGTTGTCGTTGTTGTTATTGTTGTTGTTGCTCTTTTTTTAAATGATACAACAATTATAGTGAAACGACTACGGTACTTACGAAACGTGTAAATAAACGTTTCACCATAAATTAATTTCACTACAATTTATAATATATAGGCCTAATTTGGAATTATCAAATAGTGCCTATATGAGTGTAGCATTGCATATATTCTATTGTTATAGATTATGTTTATGTTTGAAGATTAAACTAAGGAATCGTACTGTATGAAGTAAATTATAAAGAGTAATGACAGTTCTGGGTATGAGAAATATACAAATCTTGTATATTTAGTTAAAAACTTTTATACATTTTTATATTTTGGTTGATAGTTTGATTATAGGCCTAAATATTTTTTTTTTTTGTTTATCTTTCGATGCACCGTCAGGTATTTTCTTACGTGTGCCACAGTTCATGGTATCCAAAAAAATATTATACACTATTTTAATGTACATGAAAATACTAAATACACAACTGTCAGGGAACATTGCATTACGACAACTAATAACAATCACTTTAAATAAATGAACGTCATCTGTCATAATAATGGCAATATTAGAAAAGAAAAATATCATTGAGAAGCCTAATTTGAACAGGGATACCGAATACCACCTCCAGGCTACCTTCAGTGATATGGTATCATGTGTTTGTTTAACGATCGTTCACATGACTATACTTTATTAGACCCCTCTGAATGAAGTAGTTGCGAGAACAGCGAATTGCTGAGTCGCAATAATCAAATCAAGAATCAGAAAGGTAGCATGTAATTTTACTATTGGCATACGCACTATAATAAGTACCGTATAACATATACAGCATACAACCACCATTAATGTTTTAAACAATTAAAAACTCTTATCTTTAAGGTCTTTTTTAATTTTATGAATTCCTTCATTGTTTTCGCGACAGCCGATTAGTCAGACAATCCTAGCACTGTACTTAATACGGATTAACGAGGATTTTTATTTTATAATTTCGCTAAGCCTAAGCAATCCCCAGGTACTGAGGCTTTATATTAATCGGCACATTAGGTTAATCCTGGTTGGGATTAGTGTTTCAATCTCACAAAGTGCTTACATAGGAGGTAAGGTAGATTTGAAAATTTTAGTAGAAAATTTCAATTCTCAGTGTATCTGAAACGAGGACACGAAAAGTTAACGCACGATGGCGCTGCTCAAAATAACCTTCAGATCGCGCCTTTTATAAATGTGTGACAATTTGATGCGCCTTACAAAAAAGTCATAACTCCTATTGAATTAATTGGATAATTTGTCATGTAAGACACCAACGGGAGATTGATTGACAAGGAGCATGTATCGGAATGAAATAATGTAATCGAATTTAATCATCTAGCCTGTGGCGAAATCATGTAATGTCTCTATATTCATTAAATAATAGAGTCCAATGCTCAATTATATTTTATTATATTAAATAGGATTGTGCTTCAGTTTTATAAACTCGTCAAAAACATCGTATGAAAACATAGGCCTCATTTAGGGTACCATTTGTTCGGAGAAAATACGTGATATTTTAAAAGTTGCTTCATTGTGATACTACATTATATATCCGTTCGACCTTGTGTTATAGGTTTGTTGAAAATGTAAACATCATAAGCTAGGCATTGATTGAATGTGATGGGGTAAGAGTGAACATTTACCCGCTCTACGCGCTCCCCGTATGTTATGATTTGATGTACACCCGGCAGTTAACGTCATAGTGTATGAGGTTATACATTTATGCCTAATTGATTGATTTCGTTATAAAACACTTAATACATTACATCCTAATGTGTTATTAATTAACCGTTTAAAAAATACATCATTTTAGCTATAGGCTATAATCTAAATTATATAATTAACTACCTATAAGCCATTGAAACTGATATTAAACTATAATTAGTAACGCATGAGTAGATAAGGCGAGATATGACACTTACCATAGACAATGCTGACGTCATCAATAGCAACTTGTGCATTTCCTCTAAAGATCACCTCAAATACTATCTAAAAATAAATAATGATATGCAAAGAAATTGACATGGCAGGATATATTACTACCTTGTTCGTACATTGACAGAACAGGTTGGATATTTGTCATAGTATTAACTGTATTAAATGATATAAGGATACTCGGTGGAAGGAACGGAAATGCTTTAGTTCTCAAGAAGTACACTTACAAGTCATTTTTTTTTTTTTTTTTTTTTTTTTTGCATAATTAAATTACACATTAGAATAATTAACACACCAAGTCTTATTTTTTGCAACATATCTGTATAAAAAGAAATCAAATCAAATCAATGATGATTTGAGTTTAAGATGAAAACAATCTATAAAAGAAGGCATAATCCCGAGAAGAAAAATATCTTGTGCCGGGCATGCCCTAAAAGAAATGAAAGTAGAAACAATCATAAAAAGAAATTAAAATGATCGAATTAACGAATGATGGTCTACATAAATGAATGAATAGATTTATAAATTATGTTAAATAAATGAAGGAATAATAGTGATGAACAAATGTATGAACGAAAGATATACAGTAATGAAAAACACAACAAAATAATTTAAATAGGTTATTATTTAATGATTAATGAATGAATGCATGAATGAATGATGAATGAATAAATAAATGAATCATTTAATTAATTCATAAAATTGGTATTGAAGCCGTGTTAGTCTAAACTATATACAAAAAAAAATTAATAGGCAGCACTCTGAGACTAACTTAGATATTATTTATTTAACACAAGCTAATTAATTAAATAATTCATGTAAGACAAATTCTTGAATTATTATACATGAATGAATAAATCAATAAATAGATAAATAAATACGGTAGGCATATATAATGGATGAAACTTGAGTACATGTACAAATAAATAAATGAAAAAATAGATGAATGAATCATGAATGAATTATAGATACTGTAGGTAGACAAATGGATAAATGAATAAGTGAACGAACGAATTATTGAGTTGATGGATTTATGGAATATTGGACGGACAAATTGATTGAAATATTGATTGATTGATTGGCAGATTGATTGATTGATTTACTGATTGATTGATTGATTGATTGATTGATTGATTGATTGATTGACTTATTGTTTGATTGACGAAGAGAGAGACAGACAAACGGACAGACGTTGAAATAAGCAACCGGAAGAACGAATTAATTTAACTTATCCAGTACTAACTAAGGCACTGTACATGGTACACAGTTGTTTTGTGTCCAATGACAAGGGTAATTATGTGTTTTCCTAACAATCATATAAGCCTTTGCAACATAACAGTATTTTCAGTACAAAATTCCCTGTATATTATCTTGGAAAATTTAACATCAGTTGTAAGATCAGTTATTCTTTATCTAATGTCCCCTTTGGAGACATTCTTCTCCCTAAAAATGTTCATAAACAGGCAATGTGTTATCCTTCAACTAATGTCACCGTTGGGGACATTCTTCTCCCAAAAAAGTTCATAAACAGCCAATACGTTTTACTTTAATTACCTCGTCCTTCGAATTGGACGTGAAACTGTTAGTCATGTGTGACAGTGAACCTGTGTACAACTTCAGAAGAACTCAGGATACTATCCGAAAGAAAAGTAAGAAATGCATCCCGTGCATGCCTTACTGTGAATTGTGTTGTGCTATTGAAAGGTATTATTGTAAGAATGTGATGTATTCTTTGCCAATCCTTATCCCTATCAAGACTATTAATTATTTTTATTTGACAAGAAACTGTTGTACGCCCATATATAGTCATGATGTGTCTATAAATATGGTCCTGATGTGATGTCATTATGACCATATTTAGGCATGTCACATGTTTTGTCAAATGAAATTTGATAGTCTGGACAGGATTTTATAGCTAGCTCATATCAAATAACTACCAATTTAATGTATTTATTCCCTATGAAATTTATATAGGTTTACATTTAAAAAATAACTAAATGTTTTCACAATAATAAAAAGGAAATAATTATCTGACGAGGATCACCTGGTTGTAGGTGACGGCATTGTTCAAAATCTAACATATTAGCAGAAGGTACAACGTAAGGTTATGTTCAATATTGTAACAGACAGCTCTTTATACAGAAACCGCTACTGTATTTGCTAAATAATTCGTTTCGAGATCGGAATATTTGTTCAGTATTGCACATGTGTAGTATGACTAAACTTCCGCAAAATAAGTTACACAAAATGCAGACTTACCTGAAACATCGTTTCTGAAAATAAAAGCACGCTAGCCTTTTTCCAGCTGCTCTTACTTGTTACACAAGGACGTCTCCAAGAGGCTAATGTATTGTTTTTCCTTTTCACGTTATTTACGTGAATTCTCAACTCGCAGTCTAAACTTTTCTCAACTTTTGTTAAATAGTAAAACTCCAGAGTAAAGAAGTCTTGCCTGTGGGCCTCCCAAGGTGACATCAACTGCGCTGTTAACTCTTTTTTGTTGCCATTATTGTTATCATTCTTCATCACGTGCATGAAATAGCCTTGAGGAGAGCAAGAACATTTTAATATAAATCACAATCACTGTATTTCCAGCAAAAGGTAGAAGTTTATCATTATCCTCATCATACCTGAAAGCTATGCTACACGATGTACCATCATGTCCTTAATTCGAACACTCTTCCTTTGATGATTTACATATAATTTGAAGATGCCTATTGTGTATAATGTACCTGGCGGCATTATTTGAATCTGTTCAACCACGAACCTCTGTGGTACGTCTAATGGTCATGACACTCGCCTTGACATCTATAGGTCGCAGGTTCGAATCCCATTGGAGGAATTATATTTATCTATTTACATTCGTTTAGAGCTATGGTACACGATGTACCATCATGTCCTTTATTCGAACACTGCATTTAATTTATTGATGATTATTTAAACTTAAATACTAAGTATACCTTCGTGCATATTGTACACGTTGTAGCAGCTAATTAGTGCGGAACTTATTTTAACTGCAATTGACAAACATCTCCCACATGAACAATATATTTTGTTGAAACAGATGTTTCGTGTGTAATATTAGGCATCGAATTCATGTCGATCTTGTCCCTATAAATTATTCATGGCTTGCTCCTAAAATACAAATCAAATTCTCTTACATTCATTTACATATTCTCCGTTGTACCTTATTTGGGATGCAATGCATATCTAATGAATAAAATGACTCGACAGGCACGTTTTTAGCCCATCTACTTTAAGTGTGTGACTTGAGTGGAACTCACTAGTTCCGTTGCAGCTTCAGAAAATCCTTCGTGTCAATTATTCAGCTTTAAATATTGTTAGAATACTAGGTTACCTGACCCCACAAGGAAATGTATGAGACCATACTTTACTATTAACGTTACAGTTATTGATAATGAACATCTTCGCTCAACACAAGCTCTTTGATATTGCTGCTATAAACAACGTAAATAAACTTGAACTTGCTTGTTTGTGGGGCATGCTGGTATTCCAGGCTACTAAGATGTGGTTGGTCAGTTGGTAAGATTGATTGACACACAGTAGATCTTCCAGATTGTAAACTGACCAACCAAAACTTGTCCAATCAAATTTAATAGGTGGAGAGAGGAATACACCCAGTGTATACCAGAAACACGAAGACAAAGTTCTAAGTTTTACGCTGTCATTTTATTGGAACTTATCAACAAAATCTATGTTTGTTCTGTACTAGAGATGAAGGCCAACTATTTGAGTTTAGACCAACAAAAAACCTAAACAAGCAAAAATAAATTGAATTGGTCGGGTATGGTCTATATAATTAAGTTCTTCGTTTTCAAATGAATCTGGACTCATTTACATTTATACCGAACCTGTATTACTTGGCTGGTAATAAACTTCTTAATTGAAAATGATTTTTTTTTGTAGTAAATGTTTATATATCATAACTGCAAAGCGAGTCATTTGTCAACATGGGCCTATCAAAAACCTAATCTCGGTGTCGAACAGGAAAACCAGATGGTCTTTGATCTTGTCATATCCGAACGGACACTTGTCAGTAAATGTCATATGCAAAGCGGTACATGCTGTTACTGCTGTTAGTTCATGATGTCTTTTGGTCACAACAGTGAAATAGAATAAATAATAATAGCCTGATTTAAATAATGATAATAATAATAATAATTATAATAATAATAATAATAATAATAATAATAATAATAATAATAATAATAATAATAATAAAGGATGTATCTTTTGAATGGAATATTAATGATAGGTGAGACAAGGTGAGCCCGGAACCCCAATGCTATTATTATGGCACTTGAAGAGATGTGCATAAATACCAACAGGAAATCTGAAAAAAACCCCACTGATAGTGAGAGTTCTCAACAGAACTTCAGATAGGGCCTAATGTAACGCATCATAGAGCACAACTTAAAATTGAGAGGGATTGTTCATTTCTTGGCCGAAAATCAAGTTTATCAGTCTTTCTTTTTGTCTGAAATTAAATCGTTTTAAAAATCTCTCTGAGATCTCTCTATACCCGAACCAAAAAGATAAAAAAATAATTAAATAATGAGTGAAGGAGGAGTAGGTCTGCAACTGCAGAAGAAGAATCAAGTTGGAAAAATACAAATTACCAGAGAGCATAAGATGATAGCTAACCTATAAAAATACTATGTATAAAGATGAAAATTAAAAACTAAAAGAAAAAGGTTGTAGTCTGTATTGGCTTGCATATAGTGTTCATACTGTACATAAATGCTATGCATATGCATTGTGACTATAACTCGATAACTGGTGAGAAATTGGTGCAGTTTGACTTTCGTCGTCTTACCCTTTCCTGTTGTATGGTCCCCAGGTGGGGGTTCAATGACTCCTTCCAGGGCAAGGTTATTTGATTTTATTCTTTTCCAACCGATGCCGCTTTTACCTTTACTGTATCCACAAGCTCCATGGGATTCGAAATCACAGTACACATTCTGGGCTGGTGGATATAACAATATAATATATACATTGTCACAATTATTTAAATAAAAATAGGCGTACAAAAGTAATAAAATGATGTTCAAAATACTAAAATGATGTATAGAATACTGATATGAAGAAAAATAATCAAAATTGCAATGACACTTCTAGGGAGATAATCAGAGCCTTAGGTTATAATGAAAATAATAATAATAATAATAATAATAATAATAATAATAATAATAATAATAATAATAATAATAATAATAATAATATATTAATAATAATAATAATAGTAAATACTATAATATAATAATAATTAATAATTAATGCGCAGAAAAAAATCAAATACAGTTGATTGTAAATTTTACTTGAAAGGAAAAAGACAAGTTAATTAAAACATAGTTTTTACTCACGACACACATTATCTACAACTTCGGTCAAAGGCCTACATATATAAAGAAGCATGAATATCTGCCAGGCTAACCCACTTCTTGATTCATCAATTGTGATGACTCATGGTGGGGAAAGGGCCCAAAACCGCTAACTGGAACCACCATGCAAAATCCGATCTAATAAAGTCTCTTTGTTATGCGCCAAAGGTTTTATGCAATAAGAATGACTACATAATAAATAACCTTGGTGTTAATATTACGTACTAGTAAAAAAAAAGCCAAAAGATACAGATACAGACACAGACAGATACAGATAACAGATATAGATACAGATACAGGTACATAAAAATATAGATAGTACCCTAAAGTAAAGACTAAAATCCATTAACAGGCAGTTTAATATAAGACTGCACTGTCCACAATAACGTATACTTGCCTATCCTTGCAATAATTATGTATTGATTAACAGTCTCGATTCATTTTTAAGCATCTTGTACTTTTTAAACTACAGATATAGGTATAGATACATATATAGATATAGATACAGGATACATATGTATGATACAGATACTGACACATAATATAATTATATAATGCAGATGCAGACACATGTAGATAATCTGCAGATGCAAATACTGAAACAAGATACTATAATACAGGTGCAAGTACATTAAACAGTGTACAACTACAGAGTACCTACAGATACATAGATAGATAGTATAACACACAGATCGATTAATTTTTTAGTAAACATGTATTCATGTCTAGGCCTACAAGTTATGAAAAAAATTGGTCTACTAAGTCAATTACACATCAAGGAACATAGAACGTAAGTGGATAAAAGATTCGTTTTAAATCCTATCATCTGATAATACAATTGACATATTTATGTTCACAGTGTCAATTACGAATATTTAGTTTTTATGATGATTATGATATTATTAACAATAGCAATATAATTAATAACATGACAACATTAACAGCACAAACACAAATGCTTTCAAAAACAACCTCGACATTAACAATTTCAACAAAAGGAGAGGAGGCAACTATTACGAGCTTTGAGCTCAATGCCTCTTTAAATCACTAAAGGTAAGAATCACTAAAGGTAAGAAACAACAATGATGATAATAATAATAATTATATTAATGGAAATAATAATAGTATAATGGCAAACCAGCATAATGTAATAATAGACATAATATCAATAATATATATTAATAATATTGTATATATTATATATTATATAATTATATAGACCTGTAGCATAAATATAATTGCATCACCCGAAGAAGCCGGAATATGACCATTGCAATTAATTGAAGTTCTCTCGATCTATTACGCTGATAAGATTCTGCAGGTCGTTACACTGTTTCCAATACCATCTTTAGCCTATAGTATCTCAGCATTTCTTGACAACTTAATACTAACAAATTCTCTTTGCAAATTACCGTTAAATGTTTACAGTCACGTTCAAAATCAATTTCCATAACGGACATTTCTCAGCCCTATGCATTTTATGATAAACTTGGTGACAATGTCATACTTCGTCCCTGGATAAGATAAGGCTAAACCCCTTTACATAAATTAGTACAAAATACGGTACGATTCCAATTTGATTACAATACACATACATATTTCAAGATCTTGCATAGATACAAGAAACCGTTACTAATTAATTTCCCGGGAAAATATGAAACATGAAACGATAGATTGGAAAGATAACAAAACTTCGACATTTAATATCAAAATATTACAAATGAAATACCGATAACCAAAATTGTATTTCATAAAGTATTTACATCAAGAATTTAATCAGCTATATTGTAACTCACCTTTTGATTGGTGTACGCTTGTAGCGGATAGTATAAGAATAACGTAGCTCCGTAACTGCAATGCCATTTTTTGGAAAACCGTTTATTCTGCACAAGCTTCCGGGGCACTTGTCTTAAATGGATGATAGTGATTCAAGTCGGATTGTTGTAACATTTTCATTTGAGTCATTGGTTCTTAGTCATTAGGAATTGACCTGTGATCCAACGAATGGAAACAAACACAAATTCAAAACGAAAGTTGCTCGAGTTATTTCATAACCGATAATTTAACGTAAGATAAAACAAATTGTAGATGTGTATTGATGCCAAGTACTGAGCTACAGGCGCATATTAAAGATCTCAATTAATAAATCAATACATTGATTAATCAATTGATTCACCGATCGACTTTCAATATATTGAATCATCAAGCAAATTTATGATTAACTTTGCAATAATAACAATTGGTAAATTACTAATACCAAGTTAAATAATACAATATTATTTCAATAGGCTAACGACGAACAATATATCAATACCCTTTGCTAGCGTGGTCAGAATCTTTTTTTTCCCCAAATTTAACTGTTCCCTGACATTGCTGTAATATATTAATAATTATGGACGTGATTTGTTTTTAAATAAATTTACAGTTGTTAGATATTCTTAACGAATCTTTTTGATGTTACTTCTTTTCTTCTTTTGTGCAATTCTTTGTTTCTTAACCTTTGTAATTTTCTTGTTTCTGAATCTTTCAATTCTTTGTGCTTTGATATTTTTCATATATTATTCATTGCTGTCCTTGCCTTTTTTGTTGCTATTCTTTTGAATATTGTCCGTTTTTCTTTTCCTTCTCTCTAGTGCAAATTTTAGATTGACATAATGTTACCTTACTTTAAACATGTTCAACTTCAATTTCAATATATTGGAAATTTCAGTAATTTAAGTTTATTTTATTTATTTGTATTCGTAATTAATTATTTTGTTTTAAATCTTGAAGCTTGATTGATTGTTCGAAAGATTTCTAAACTGTTTAATTAATAGCTACATGCTGTTTCATGCTTGTGAAATAGTGGAGTAAGATCATTCAAGAATTGACAAACCATAATTACGGTAAATATAAATAAATAGCAAAAAAAAAAACACCACAATTTATAAGCATATATATATATATATATATATATATATATACATATATATATAAGCATATATATAATATAGTATATAATATATATATATATATATATAATGGCTATCAAATATCTTTGCACACAGTGTAGAAAACGGAAGCAGTGTGATATTATTTCAAATAATAACCATTAATCAGCGCAAGCCTACAGAATATTAGTTTGTTAGAAAATCACCAATAATAATAAGATATGTTTAGTTTAACTGTGCTGAAACTATTTTTGTTACAATGCACTTTCGTTAATTGAAACATGTACAGCCTTGACCGAGCACTATCCTGCTAATGTTGCTGCAAATCTCATAATATTGTGAGGATACAAATTACTAAACAGACGAATACAAAATGCGCCCTCTATAATTTCACCCTCTTTGAAATGAATAGTCGAAAATAAAAACTGAACTAGGCTTACATTTTTATGCTTTAAAAATAATACATAACCTGAGAGGAGATGCCAAACTGAATACTGATGAAAGAGGAATTTCTGAAAAACTACTTTTGATTGACACATTAAAGTATGATTGTCGCATTCAAGTATTGTTAGATTACTTTGTTGACGTGTATGTTCACGTCAAAGTAAATTGAAACTAATTTTAAATGTCACTATCACAAAAGACAAATTACTATTATATACACAAGTAAGGACTTCCTTCTCAATTGCATAATAATGGTTACAAAGCCTACTCTGGTTATATTACTATAATGAGGATGATAATAATCAATTTATTTAATTGTTGAGACATTCTCAACAAACACCAGTTCTTTTCATAACTATCTACGTTGTGTATCGAGAGCATTAACTATATTACTACTTTGCCATGCACATCTTCAAAAAATATTAATCATGTAAGACACAGGGGTTTTTGCTCGTTTTTTTTTTAAATAAAGGAACTGGGTTTATAGACCGCCCGTTCTTTGCTATAATTGGCGATTGTATTTGCTGTTGAATGTGTTGAAGTAAATATATAAAAAAATATAATCAAAATTATTGTATCGTAACCTGAAGGTATTAAAACTAGCAAAGCAGGACAAAAGATGAGTAAACTGCACAAAAATAGCACAAGTTATTGCAAAGGATAATTACCTATCAAAGTTAGCATTGTAGCTATATACCGATACTGGATTGTGAGTGAATGATTTTAGTATTAGACTTAATCTATTAGTACCTTTTAAGGCATAGGCGACCAAATCTGTTAAATGTGTATTTATAATGCTTAGATTGGGAAAGATCTTTAATAATAATATCTACTTTCTTAAGTACAGAAGCTGTAACCTTCGGATCAAGAGACTTTGCGAGCCGATTTCAATATTCTAAGATTTTCAAAGTACAGTCGCAAACTAAAACACTTAAAATAACACTTTTAAAGAACAGCATTAACACTTCTGGACTGGTATGGAAAGACTAAAGTTTGCGTAAGAAGAATAGTAGGTCTATATACGTGTTTGATTGATACGTCTATGTCTTGCTATAAATATTTTTTTTTTTTTACAAATGAAATACAAAAATGTCCCCATTTTTAAACCAAATCATTCAAGTGAATAAGCATGGCGTAAGATAATATACAAAAAACGTCTTTAAAATCGAAATTCAACATGGTGTTTTGTAGTAGATAAACCAGAGAATCTGAAACTTCCAAATCCGCATTAAACTACATCATGTGAGAACAAGCGCATGAGTCAACAATCAAGGGTTTTGACAATAAAGAAATGCACAAAACTTGTTGTCTTGAAAATCATTGTTCATACGCATTGAAAGTGAACATGTAACAGCAGAGGATATCATTAATATTATGATGTTTATTGCATCTCTACTTTTTATTAAAAGTATATATCTAGGAAAGCTGGCTTTGATATGAATAGTAATATTATATTTGATTCAGTCACATGCTTGTTTTGAAGGTGTTAATTAAAGCTTGAGCAACACCAACTCTACCGCAAACGTTATCAATTGGGCTGGAGATCGCCAGCGTTGGAAGCTCTTGACCCCCGAAGTGTGTATCACTTGAAGAAGAACTATATACATCCAGAAGAGCGCAGAAAGTGCAGTGTATAACCGTGTAAGGTAGCAAAGACACTGTGTGCATATAAGATTGATTATTGTTTTGTACATTATTTCTTTTGTAGTTAACATCGATCCAGGTTTTGCACTTATTTTTAAGATACAGTGACTTATAAATTTCGGAAGAGGAATTTTCCATTGACACGACCTATTATCGTACTAACCCTATTTAAGGTTAAACTCCCCTTTGGTAACAAACAGAAATCTTTGAATTGACGGTAAGATATAGTTTATTTACAAAATATGTGTTATTTTCTACCTCTAGTATCAGCAGCACACTTCAGATGAATGCAAACGCAAACACCAGTTGTTTGACGCAACTCAAGACTCGGCTATTCCATTGATGCCTTAATAATTATTTGGTGTGAGCCATTCAAAATTAGTCAATATAAGACTCAAGCTTTTAAGCGAATATTTGATTTAAGAAAATACTTATAAAGACCAGTGTTAGGAGTCCTTTTTGATAGTCCCTAATCTGTTTCAACATGTCGTCGCAATTTAACTAGTCCTTTGAATTTGGACGGGAACGAAAGCTACCCAGAAGTATACTGTACAACCTCAGAATTTTTTTTTCAAATATAAAAAGGGACAAAAAACACTACAAAAATCAGAACAGTTAAATATCATTGCTAGCTTAAGTGACGAAAATAGATTTAATGTTAAATACAAAAATATACAAATAGACATTTGAGATCGATTTGTTAGGATAACAGTAAAGATGATTATGCAGCGACACTATCAAAAACAAGGAGAAATGTGTATGTCCATCACTAAGTCTAGACGATTCCGATCCTCTTCAATCAATCCATATTCAATGAAAACCAAAATATATCGACACAAGTACATCAAGATGCCCGATGTAAGTGTATTCATACGTTTTGTGGGTAGTGGAACAGCCGAGTCATGTTTTTTGCATCAAGCAGTTTGCGCTTCGAGAGCTTATCATGAACCATGTTAGTAAAATTAAAAATGTGTAATTACGATAAACTATATTTGTTAATTCACCTGTAAAGCATGCCTTTCAAATCATGGCCTGGATGAGGTTCTTCATCAACGAAGCCCGCCAACGAAGTTTGGAACGGGAAACTTATTAGAGCGTACTAGCTGGTGTTCTTCTGCAAAATTAAATATCTTTCAAACCTTTCTCTACGCAATAGAGGCATAATTGTTTACATTCACCCATTATAGAAAATTACTCCACACCATTTTCAGAGTATACATTTTATATTATTATAATTATTATAAAACACGTTATAAACTTTGATTCGGCAATTATATTTAACAAGGTTACTGATAGATATAATTTCCTTTTTTATGTACGAGTTGACTTCTGATCATGTTTACGTCACTATTCAACTTTTAGGATAGATTCAAATCATATTGACCCTGGATGTACAATGACGTCACGGTGGTGTAACGTCGGACTATAATTTCCGTCCTAAACTTGAAATTAGTCATCGATGTATTTACTGCCCTCATATCAAGCATATACTTTCTAGGCCTAGGTAGCTCTACTCTTTCACTATCTTGGTTTTCAACTTCCTAAGATTAAGTCAAAAACATCATTTAGGTTTTTTATTCATTCGTAGTTTTGGGTTACTTCAAAGGAGGCTCATCGCAACAGTTTACATCGATTAGTGCACGTGGAATATACGCGTCAAGTTCAATAGGTGCACACGTGGAGTTCAAAAGGTCTATGCGTGGAATTTACAAGGTTTATGACTGGAATTCGGAAGACCTATATTGGTGGAATTTCCAGGCTGAGTACGCGTGAAAACCCTAACGTGCACGTGTGAACATCATATGCCTGAAGTGCATCGTTAAAATTTTGGAAGTTTGTGTGTAGAACAGAACCCTCACATGCATTGACTTCACTGTACATGATGGAGATACAGATTTTTACTTGTGGTCTAGCGTTCTTGGTGTCCTTTTTGGAGTTATCTTCTCCATTGGGTATGTATACCTTTTGCATTAAATAATATCTGCATTTCAGTGAATTTATTTCTGGTAGGGAAATACTGTAAGAAAAAAATATATGTTTATGTACTACATAATCAGCACCTAATATTTGTAGGTACAGTATGTAGTTATACATTGCTTATAATGTCATTTTTCGATTAAATTAAAAAAAAAAAACAAGCAACAAGTAGTGCGATAAGGTAATTTAATTATATACACGACTTAAATGACTTTCAAACTTGTTAACATTTTCTTTTTTTACATCCTCTTTATTATGTGTTTGCGGAAGGTTTGTACTATAGGATACATTGAGTAGAATGGAAACAGTGTGTGTGGTAACATAAGAATCAAATTTAATTTTAAAAATTTGTACAAAATTCAGAAATTTGAATGGAGTTCAGTACAATGATTTTAAGAATCAATCCATAGTCAGAAAATGCCTTTTATAGAAATTGGCTGTCATTTTGAAAGTTTATCTATGTATACAAAATCAAATCAGTAAGTAATAACGCTAGCCAAAAAACAGGCCTAAAATTAGCTGTAAAATCACTTGCAGTCGGAAATATTGAGAGTCGTGGAAATAGATACGGTACTAAATATAGAATAATATAAGACAGTAGGTCTATTTAAAATGTTCTTTTCTTGAAAAGATCAGATACTATCATTTAAGAAGTGCTAGCCTAGTGCAATCAAATTTAACAGCTGTGTATATTATATTATATGCGGAAATGTAATGATAAGTGCGCATGTCCGAGCATACACATTTTGCTAGCTTGCCAAATATTGAGTATAGTGCCAAATACAGTAGAAAATTGGTTTAAAATAGACTTATTTTTTTATTGATTTAATAACTGCATATAATACAATACCGTAAGAAATGCATGTCCAAATTGAAAAATATATTACAAGATATGCTTTCATACATAATTGGATATATGCAATATACTGTATAGTGCGCACGATATTATTTGGTTACACGTAATTTCAAATAAGAAACACATTTACAAAGTCAATATCTTCGAACGCTCTTAGATCGTTAAAATTTGTGAACGTTTGGAAACGAAACAATACTTCATAAAAATAGATATCAAATTAAGATTTAATATAATGTGTATATGTTAATTTCACTCACTAATAAACAGAAATTCAGTCTGTGTTAGATTGAATATGTATTTGTAAAATGTATGTTGGTCATTGAAACCATGACAACAATGTCCTGATACAGGAAATCTAGATTTTATAATTTGCTGTCTTTAACAGTTTAAAAGATTTAGAGAAATAAGCTATGATTGTTACAAAATAATTATTCATTTGTAATAAAGAGGATAGAAGATAGTAGGAGATATTTAATACAAAACTATAATAAAAAATTAATCTTTTTTTTATTTAGCTTGAATTTTCTATAAAACTAGCATCAATGCATTATATTGTTTCTCTTACGTCACAATGCAGACTAAGTGCATGTAAGTGAAATTCGATTAACGAATGGTATTTCCTCTTGTTGAAAAGTTAAGTGATAGTCCGCTACATCAAGAAAGATAAACGCAAAGAAGTATTATTACAGCATAGAAGAAAGTTAGTTATACGTTAATACATATGAACGTAATGATTTCCTTTCAACATTCCAAAAAAAATCTATATAAATGTGTTAAGAACAGAAAAAGAATTAGCCACCAAAATTACAGACACTATTCAGAGTAACAATAAACACAATGTCGGAATAAATATAAACGCACATACTTATTCTCTTTTGGAAGGAATTAAACTTAGTATATTCAATGAAAAGGACTAATTAATGAGTTTAGTGGTTATTAACTATAAAATATATACTAGATTATTGCTCAAACGAGAGGGAAAAAAGTGTTTTGTGCTCAATACCATGAGTAAACTAGATCAGTAGAAAATACTTATTGAAAATATCTATGGAAACAACGGAACTTTTATTTATTACTAAACAATAAAGAAGGAACGTACGCAACCAATTCAGTGGTGAATATTTATGCGTATGTATAATATAAACTAAATGAGTTCTCAATAATACTTAACAGTCCAAGCTATTACAATTTAAATTGACTATAGTTCTAAATAACTGAGAAGGTATTGAACAGATTTAGTGCACACATGTATGAAATAAGATATTCCGAACAAAATATGCAAGCATTTCAACTTACGTAATTTAATGATAATAATACTAATGATTGTTTCTTTTTTTTTTTTTTTTTTTTTTACATTTGCATTCATTATCAGCCTGTCAGGCCTGTTCTGGCTGATGGCCTTTCCAAACTCCATTATTATCTATTCTTTACTAGATTTTCATAAGTTATTAAAAGTGTTTCCGCATTTCCATTGTTTTTATGTATATTATTTATTATTTAATTATTATTAAGATTTAGTCACATTGACTCCTATACTCTATGAACTTCCATTTCTGCACATTATTCTATTCTTTGATTTTTTTTTTCTCTTGTTGCGAAATGACTAGTTGAAAACATACACTTTTATAAAAGGCAAGTTGTCGCACTTGATTTTCGGAAATTTTCTAATCAGAAATATGCTGTATGCTTTCAGTTCATCAGTGTACCTTCAGTGAACCAGGAATTTGCGGATTTAAACAGTCTAAAGCTGATCTCATTGATTGGACAAAGCAGACCTCATTGGCACAGTTAGTTTTACCTGTAGGTCAAAGTTTACCGACACGGCCATCAGGTAATTATATCTCTAGTTTACAATGTCAGGTTGTTATCATATAAGGAAACGTAAATGTAAATACAGATTGAAAAAAATATTATAGTATAATCCACAGTAAAATAAGCTACTGTGTAAACGGAATATGTCGATAGTTATAAGGTACGGTATCATACATCTGGTATAAAAGGTCAATTAAACTAAACGATTATTAATCGAGACATGTAAATATAATAGAAATAAATTGATTTAAGTGTACATATGCTTATTTTTTGTCGGAATTTACATTTAAACACAGACAAATATTAAATCTATCTTAATGTGGCATTGTAATGTGTTCTCCCTGAGCATACTAAATTGTACATCGTTGTAATTTAATGTGAATTCATTATTATTGATAATTAGAACGAAGTCAGTCATATTTATATCTAAAACACTTAAAGTTCACTGAGTAGTAACTGGTAGGTCGATGTGACGTCAATTGACAATTGTAATTTATTTTGATGTGAGAGCGACGGGTACGTGGGTGTTGTTGGCTCAAGGTCGTTGAAAGTGTTGCTATTTTCGTGGTTACATTGCGGCAATATAAGACAAGATAAAAGTTATTAATTAATGAAATGTATCGTGAACATACGTCTACTATTAGAGTGTGGAAGACGTCTATTAAGATAATGGACTTCTTGAAATTTCATTTCATGGCTTGCCCGGCTACCCGGTACGTAGTAAATCTTTAATTATCATTCCGAAGTGTTGATAATATGTCTCCATTATCAAGGACAGAGATATGTGTGTCAAAACACTTAAAGTATGCATTCATTTAGCACGCTCTTGTGTATTTTTTAATGCCGATTGTAAATATATAAACATATTTAAAACTTCATGATTAAATCAACGCGACCTCCGATACATATTGTCAATATATACACCCTGAACAATTTCTCCTGTGATTTGTTGTGAATCAGCGCGTAGCTTCGTTATTACTTAAGACCTGAACGCTTTCAAACCGCTGACTTTTAAGGCGTTATATTTTTAAGTTTTAATTATTTTAAATTTAAAAATAATAACGATGATATACATTTTAACAGGAACTCACTTGTGCGCGTGCTACAGAGAAGAACAACCACGTGAACATTTAGTGTATGTGAACGCCATCATAGATTCTCCGGTGTACAAAGTTCAGTCGACTACACAGGCCAGACTAGTGGTGTTTGTTAACATTAAATTAAGAGATCAGAGCGCCCTCTATATCAGGAAAATGGAAATTCAGAATGGAAAATCATTTAGAGGGACATTAATTTGGAGTGGCAATGGTGTTACATTTGGTACTGGATGGCGAAAGATAAATGTTGAATTTACAGTGCAAAATTCATTTAAGGTAACGTTTATACATAATGGTTGTTGAGAAAACCTTTCAGTATGTATAAAAGAACTGATCATTGTGGCCTTTAAAATTGGACTTGCATTTAATGGATCCCTAAACTACACAATTGGCCCATAAATATGAATATACTTTATTTACATCACATGTGATTACAATTTATACTATAAACAATAATTAAATACCATATTTTACCATATTTAACTCTTTTATTATCATTGTTAATGTTAATTGATTCATTCATTAATTATTTCTTTTTTAATTTCAATGTTAGTATTATAGTTTGTCTAGTGATCCTGCGTGTGCCTGAGTTTCTCAGACATTGGCCTGGGTTTTATGGTACATTCATTTGTAAAATTTTACAGTTTTTGGAATAAAGAAAGAAATAAAATATATTATCATTATCATTTTACAAATTAGCATTACCAATAGGATTATATAACCAATAAGGAAACAGAACCTCATTTTCGTAATATAAGTCAATATAAATCATGTAATGTTTCCCCGATGATTTTTTTTTTTTTAGATTGTATTTGAAGCAGTTGTGACCGCTATTGAGTACAACTCTGTACGAATAGATGAATATAACATCATGCATAATGAAGGTAGGTTTTTGTGTTTTGATCTGTTGATTGCCAGTATCAGGAGCTAACGTCATGATAAATTTAAGCCCGTATCCATCACTATGTACTGATTTCTGTAATCCCGGGTAGATAAAGTTATCGTCGGAAAACTCATTTTCTTGAACATCATTATTAAATCGCAAAAAAAATTAATGAAAATAAAGTGTCACTAAATATATTGTTTGGCGAAATCGTGGAAATTAAAGGGCCGCTAAAAATAAGGGCTATGCAGTAAAAATTTTGAACCTGAATGATATGATTCCATATACTGTATTAAATCAGTATCAGTAGGCACAAATCCACGTACACAATTAAATCTTTATTCTAAATAAGCGTGACTTTATATGTTTTGATCGGCTTCAGAGTTTATGAATGTGACTTTGATAGAATGTTAAAAGCTAAATCATCGAATGTCCCCTGGTGTTTTTATTTTAATTATTATTATTAATTTTTATGTATCACTTTCATTTTGGCCTCTATAATTCTTATCGATTGTCAAATGTTTTATTCTAATTTCTGGCGAACTTTTTACTTTTTTTATGTGCATACAATCAAAGAGTTAAGATATGATCCAGGATGTAATTAAGTAAAGCACACGTGATCGCAATGTGAGACCCGTTTCAACCTCGATTAAAAAAAATTAATAGTTATCTGAAGAAACAACCATGCATTGAACAATCTATGTGTCATTTATAATTTTGTTAGTCACATCCGATTAAAAATACTCCCGGGATTCAATAAATGGGGGCGCTCGAACACTTTATTAAATTTTATTATGGCAAACCTACATTAATCTAGGTCTACACCATATTTGAAAAGTACTGCAGTAGGGCTAACATCTGAAATAATTTATAAGGCATCAAATATACATAGGATTGTCATGCGGATCAGAGAGGAAGTGAACACTCTTCGTCACAATCCTGCTTATTTTATTTACTACATTTATTAAAATACATCTATTTCACATCCAACTGTACACCTGCAAACGTAACTCTACAAACATTATTTACAAAAAAAATTAATTAGATTTGAAAATATATGGAGACTGATTCTGTCTTCTGTGCAATAACAGATCAGACATCATTCTTAAGAAGGTTGATGTTTAAAAAAGAAGAAAATTGTAAAGTGGCTAGAACTATGTTATAATCTATAAACGAATGATGAAAATGTTTATTGTAAATACACTAGACTAGAGCATTCATACACTAGCTTTTTTGCTCTCGTCAGGAAGCTTGTGTATCTTAATTTTCTAACTACTGTCTAAAATGCTACTTGTTTATATTAATCAGTAAGAAGGGTACTGCTAATCAAAGTAATTGTTATTATACCGGCTCTACAAACATATCGTTGCTAAGACTAAGACCTAGATAGTTATAGGAGTTGATCCTGGTCGCAATTTACCGTTCTGCTATGCTCCACCCCTTGGGTAATTGCTAATGACGGTGTAAACTTGTGTGTTTTTAAAGACATGTGAGTGTTTATGGTCTTGCATCTTATTTTTTGACTATTAAAATGTCCACTGTTAACGTATTATCAGAACATTATGACATACAAAATACTGCAGTAGCGAAAATGAGAGTAAAGTAATAAACTTTACTTTATGTAAAGGTTCTTGACGTTAAAATAATTGCAACACCGCAAATGGTGTTCTCTTTAATCAAGTTAAAGTAAATCATAATAGCATATCAATGACTCTACTTGTTTGCGCTAATATTATCCAGTTTCAAATATTTTTGTGTGATGAAAACAACTTTTACCGTTATCATTATAACATTATATAGGCTGGTAGAAAACATAATTGTAGTTTTAAAAGCTAAATTGTTGTCGCTTTTTTTTAGCCTGAAGTGCATTTAACAGTTACAGGGAAAAGTTAATATAATGGTCCAAATTGATCGAGATATCTTGATCAAGGTGGTGGATAGTGAAACTCAAACTATAGACTGTAATTTAACATCGTCAATTACCAGAGTAATGAGCTACTGCCTTCAGGTGCTTGTAAGAATTAAAACCGCCTTGCTCACAAGTAAGCGACAGCTGCTCACTGCTTGTTCCATTCGTTTAAATAAATTGATATAAACCCTAGCTCTACGCAGCTACTTTTACTCTCTCGATCTTTCTCCAACAAATAATACATACGTTTAGATTGCTCATTGATTTACACAACTGAAGATAGGCTTCTGCTGCATTAGAAACACCCCGGATAGCAGTCGTTAACTATCCATGGAAGTATCTAATTTTGTACTCAAGTAGATTTCCGTTGCTTAGTTTGCAAACTTTGAGACCTAGTGAATTCACCATTTTGTTTCTATGATTAAGAGCTGTGTTCATGTGATCTCTCAGCTGTATGAAGTTTGCCTTTGAGGCTACATGTACCTCGCGAGGTCATCTAAGCATTGATTTAAGTTCGCTTTTCGTGTTCTGATTCGCTTATTTTTATTTAAGATCTGAACTTAGTATATAACTTTCGCTTAGTGCTAGTCTTACTGTGATTACCCACGTTAATCCATACCATCACTAAAGGCGCAAGCCTTACAACTGTTTTGGATTTTGTTCAATATCTGAGGTTTGGCTATCAGAAGAAGCAGTAGGCCTATGGAAGGTGAGATGTTTGTTTTTCTTTGATATTATTTTCATCTCCTTGTCCTCTGTGTGTTTACTGTGTGGTTTCAGTGGAAGTTTCGTTATCTACAAAACGTCGCTGCTCTTACAGTATATCCCAAGATCCTTTTCTGCACGACATTACATTACATATTCCATTAGGCAATTGTACGAAATCCTGTTATAGTTGTTGCGTGGTTAATTAATTAATTAACCTCACCCAAATAATGACTACCGGTATATTACATTAGTAATTTTTCAACTTAGGTCAACCAGATTCACTATAAAGAGATTAATGGGTTATAAACGTGGTGGCAAAAATCCAATTCGTAACCGCAATACATTAATTGAACTGACGGTGCCAAATTTTCTCAAAATTTGACCACCTTTCGAAGTGCTGTGCATCAGGGAAAGTAAATTGTGTTGTTGATTGAATGTCAATAATTAAACTACATTATATACTCGATTCATTATTAGGCCTATGACAAAGTGATTAAATAATCAGGTACTCTAAGAAAATTATATTTTGTAGTATAATAAACCAAAATGTTATTATTAATATCTATTAATATTTACTTTATTATTGATAATATTATTATTACTCGTATTATTATTATTATTATTATTATTATTAAATTTATCATCCTCATTGTTACCATCATTATTAGCATTGTTTTTTAGTACAGATTGTAACAGAATTGTGATAGTAACATGAATGTATGTACATGAATATGAATGTATGTATGTATGTTGGCATTTATGTGGGTACGTATCTCCTAAAACTTTAAAATAAAAGCGACTCTGCAAATGTCATTACAAGCACGACACTCATAATTTTGGACTAACTTTGGACGGACACTAATCAATTAAGGTCATATACACTATATATAGCGAACTATTGATAGAATATGTCATGTCCTATAAGCATCGTTATCCCTGTGACTGCGAACGATCGTTATAGAATGAAATGGGAAATTGATACTTGACTTTAAGATTTAAAAGTGTTGCCATGTATGGTGAAAATTTTAAATGAAAGACGTATAAAGTGTACATAGGAATTGCATTTCCTGATATAGCGAAGAATTAGGCTATGTATTCTTATTTTTTATTGTTTATTATGTTCTTATTGTTAATATTCATATTATTATTCTTATTGTTATTCATGTCATTATTCATTATTATTATTAATAGTATTATTATTAATATTATTATTATTATTATTATTATTATTATTATTATTATTATTATTATTATTATTATACTTATAATGGTCACATTATTAAGAAGACACAACAATAATTGTTACTTAACCAATATCCTGAGGCGCGTGGAACGGAGAGAGTAGAGAAAACAGTAGAACTTATACATACTGTTTGTGGTGCTGAACTAATAATAATAATTCAAATAATAAAACATTAAATAGTTAAACCGTTATTAAATTTTTAATTATTGGTCATGTTGTAACTTCAGCCGTTGTCTTTCAAACCATTTAAATTATCGTAGCAAAAAGTATAAAAACTAACTTGTGTTTTTAATGAAAGTTAATCACTTGTAAATTATAAATGCTTGAAAATGTGTAGTTCAATGGTTTGATTGAATGTGTGTGGAATGGGAATTGAATATATGGCGTAGACCTATGTTTAAGAAAAAAATACAAAGTATAGGCCTATGTAGGCCTAAATAGCAGCAGCAGTAGCACTAGTAGTAGTAGCAGCAGTAGTACTAGTTTTGTTACAGCAGCCGTATTTGCTGCGAAGCAGCCAATTCATATTCTTGACAGCAATTTGACCTCTGAAAGGTCATTGTTTGTCAAAAAACCTGTGCCTAAGACAACGGAAAAGCGGAGTTTCCTTCTTTCGTTCTGCCGGGTAAAATCAATTACTTTAGGCGACGTTTGTAGACTAACCTACTCGTACCAACGTCCGCATGTCGCGACGCTGGAGTACTATTCAGCGTTTTTATTATATTTCTAGGTTTCCTATTTCTACGACTACGTTTAATCGCTCATGTCTCAGCCACAATATTTTGAGGCCAATATTATTTACGAACCCAGTTAAAATGATTTACTAGCCTATTTCAACGTGCTAATTATTAAATTTAGGCGACGCTTGTTGTAGACTGGCATAGTGTTTTCGGAAATAAATACCATTTTACACACATGCGCAAATCGATTCGCCAGCAGCGAGTCATCGGCCAGCAGCAGCGAGTCGCCAGCAGCGAGATGTCACTGCAGCAAAACAATATTGTACACGGTACCAACGCTGTTCTAATATAGACAATTGGGTCGTGTCTCATATTATTTGTTATATTTTTATTATTCATTATTTTCACTTGACTCGCATAAATTATAATGTTCAAAGAACAGTTTATGCAGTTTTACTTCG